ACTGCAGGAAAAGCAAAATATCTCAAATCTGCTGGCTTACAAGGAGTAAAATGCAAGGAGGTGTATGCCACTGCCTGGGATCCTCTCTTTTGTGTACAATTTACAGAGCACTGATAGTTTGCAGACTGGAGTGCCAAGGTTCTGATCAGGGGTAAAGAACCTTGGCACTCGAGCTGTTGCAGAACTACAAGTCCCATGAGACATTGCAAGACTCTGACAGCCACAGGCAAGACTCAAAAGGCAAGATGAGATTTGTAGTTACACGTTGCACTAGACATTCGTGTCTCCTATACACCATACACAGCAGTAGTTGCATCTTTTGAGCCCCTCCTCTCTTAGCCAATTACAGAACGCTTTGTATTCGGTGAAACCATTCGCAATACAAAGCATTCTGTGAATGGACAGGGAAGAGGTAATGTGGCTGCTGTGTAAGTGAGCCGTGTCCGTCAGAGCGCAGTGTAGAGTGAACTTTGAATATACATTTCTCTACAATGCTTATAACTAGAGAGGTGAATGAAGGCTTTCTTCAAAACACTTTTACTTTTTGTTCACAATATAGAAATACTTTATTGTACATAGTCTGGGCACACATTCAATTCATAAATCGATAATCAAACAGCTATTTGGAGTGAGATAGAAACCATTACGTTTATACTATATTTTTGCTTGGCAAAAACAAGATCCCTATACTGTGCAACTGTCTCAGACTGATAAAGTTTTATTCCACAACCTTTAGATATCACTCTGTAGGTATTTACAATGCTAGGTTTACTTCTACTTCATCAAGATTTCTTACACACTTTGGTATTTACAGAATATAAAAATATTCCTTCTCCATGAAAACGTACAGGTCACCACTGTTTTTGGTGAATGTATCACCTGTGTGAAAGTGAATGATGTTTTATCCTGCAGTTTATTAAAGAAAACGGGAAAGAACACAGCTAATGTTCAAGGTGCAGTTACTAATAGCAACACAGTTATGAAGGTGGCAGTGGAAAAAGCCAAGTATATCCATCATTTGAGTGGTAACCAATCAATCTTTTAGCCCCCCCACATTCTGCAGTTCCCCCATGGAGATTAGGTAGATCAGAGCGATCTCCATAAGAACTCACAGATTTGAGTTCTGTCCCTTTAAACAAGCTGATAGCAGGCTTCAGTAGGCTTTACTACTACTTGAAGCTTGTTGAAAACCTGCTGAAGCCTGTCAACTGCTCATTTAAAGTGACAGTCAGCACTCCTATTAAGATCCGTTTAACCTCCCTATACAGGAACTAATGTGTTTTTTAAAAGCTGCTTGAAGCTTTGCTACACACACCATTCTTATATAAGCTGTAACTAGGGATGTCGCAATACCACTTTTTCAAGACCTTGTACAAGTACTTTCCCTTGGGTACTTGCTGATACCAATTACCAATACTTTTTCTTAAAAGGGACATGCAACTTTTTCTAAAACAATACGAATGAATGATTTTAAGGCAGTTTCTCACCAGGGCTGCCCATGGGTCTTTCCATGGCTCAGTGGGCAGATTCTGGGGCTGAACGGGCGGATGGTGAGCTGAACGGGGTGGTTTCCTGTCTTGTGCCGGCTCCGAGGCTGTATGTGCAATGTGGGGCAGCCTCGAGCTGTGCCTGCGCCAGGAAGGAGGGAGGAGATGTGGGACCCGGCAGGCACTGTCAAAGACAGCTACTGCCAGGTCCCCGGCAGGCTGCATCAGGTCCCCACAAGTGCGGGACCTAAGGCAGCTGATCCGATTTAAAAATTTAATGGCCGGTATCAGCGTTCAGTATTGGGGCATTTTCAGGAATACAAGTACTCCTGAAAATGCCCTGTATCAGCCCCGATACTAGTATCAGGACATCCCTAGCTGAAACCCATATGAACAAGGCCTAAGGCCTCATTTAGACAGGCAGTAAATTTGGGTGGTTGTTCCGCAGTTTTAGTGCTCCTCAGCTGCCCGCTGCAGTGTTAGCAATACAGCCAGACAGTGCTGTATACATTGTCATGACCACAATGCTTTGCTTTTCAAAGGGTGGTGGAACCGGCCACCCATCTAAATGAGGTAAGGGTTGCTGCAGCTGTAAAGATAGGACTTTAATGGGGTGCATAACACAATATAGTTAGTTTACTATAGGGGGTTCAGGAAGGGGTTAAAACTGTAAGCTGCAAAAGAACCTTTTTTGAATATAATAAGGCTTCGGAAAAGTGTTGAGTTTTTGATGCAGAATCAGGAGATGTCAGAGACTGGGTTTATTTCCTTCACTTTTCAAGGGAATTGAAAAGGGAAAACAGTGCAGGGGAAGTTTCCTTTAGCTTGGTGAATGTGGCGATATTTCACTTTGCATAGACTACACAATCATGTGCAAGGAAAAAAAAACAAACAAAAAAAACCCAAAACAGTATTTTTGCTTGCACATGGTTGAATGATGGGAGTCAGCAGAGCTTCCCTTCATTCACTAAACTAAGAGCAAGCTTCCCCTGCTAAGTGCAAATTCCCTTGAAATGTGAACAGCCTATTTGGCTTTAGTAAATCAACTGCAGAGGTGCCACCTTCTGCTGCACAATGGGTTTCATTTACTAAAGGGAAATAAGCTGTTCACTTTGCAAGGGAAGTTTCCGATAGCTTAGTGAATGAGGTGAACGCAATCACATGTAAGGAAAAGGAAAAAAAAAAAAGTATTTTTGCAAAACTCAAAATATGAACATACACTGCACTTTACCTTCAAAACATCACTATGTACAGCCAGCCTACTTGGGTAATTAAAACAAGAAAATTAAAATGTTTCCTGAAAAGTACGTTGCGTTTACTAAAGTATGAACAAAAATAAATTGACAAACATTAAAACAAGCATTCTTTGTAAAGTTTGAATTAAACATATTATACAGCCTACATAGCTAAAAACACTAACACACACACTTAAAAAATGCCTTAGACGGCTAGACCCAGTACTTTATGAAAACCAGTGCTCTCAAAATCTCTAGTGCCTTAAAAATAATGGAAAAAAATAAAAACACAACATAACAAGCTCAACAAGATTTTTGGGCTTTTGTCAGATACTCACACCTCACATAACTACTGGATAAACTTGCTGCAAAGTCTTGGGCTTTACATTTACTTCAGAGTTATGGCATGGTTTAGAAAAATACCAGGAGCTGGGTGGTCAATTTGCCTAAAAGCAATTTAAACATTATTCCCTCAGTAAGACCAATACAAAATGGTTTCTACGGGGCATTCAACACCTAAAGTCTATAGCCAGATAAGAAAAAAAAAAAGCTACCCTTGTAGTGGGGCCGAATAGCACTGTAAAGGTAAATGCTCATTATGTCTACTGGTAGAGGTATAAGGCATAATACTTAGGCCTCATTTACATTGTTAAGAGCCGGCCCGTACAGATCTGTGCGGCGTGCAGGGCCGCTCCCGGGAAGGACAGGTGCTGCGTTTGTTCGTACACAGCAGCCTGTTCTTCTCTATGGGAGTATGCGGCCATACGCCGCCATACCCTCAGCTGAACTGCACATCCATGCAGGTGCGGGTGTCTGTGCTCAGATGCAGACAGGATCCATTCTGTCTGTGTACGAGCAAGGACACCCGCACGAATGTGCAACTCGGGTGAGCGCAAGGCTGCGTACGCCCATAGAGAAGAACAGGCTGCTGCATACAATCACACGCAGCACCTGTCCTTCCCGGGAGCGGCCCGATGCGGCCGTGCACGACGCACGGATCTGTACAGGCCAGCTCTTGGCAGTGTGAATGAGGCCTTACCGTATTTCTTACTCCTGCAGGTTCCCTCCATCTGTGCAACCGGTCCCCCGAAGCATCTTCTCTAAGGCACGCTGTCTGGCGCTTGCATACCAACGTCATTACATACAATGCAGGACCAATAGCCATGCACTGTATGTGAGGACAGCGAGGGATCGTCCACAACCTGGAGTATCAGGGAGAAGAGGTGACCACTGGAGCAAATAAGGGAATTACTACATCTTATTCCTCTACATCTACTTAACAAGAGTCTAAACATAGTAGTGCATAGAGGCATGACTCCAAGGGTAGTTTTTGTGTAATTCCCAGAGTTCAGCATTAAGCCCCATAGTGCACAATCATTTTTGAAACCTTTATACTAGTGTAGATTAAAAGACATGTCCATGGTTTCCTTGATTAGACAGTCCCACTTCTGAATTGTACATCTAAGTGGACCTGAACTCAGAAGGTTAAGACTTGCTACATTATAAGGAACACTTAGAAATGTTACTATGTTACCTAAGCAGTACCCTGAAAATGTACCTTTTATCTTGAAAAATAACAAATAACCTCCTGGTACACAAGTGTGCCTACATCCTCATAGCTGTATATCTGTAATGTGCGATTTAAAGCCCTTCTGCCTCCGACATCTAGTCTTTCAAGACTTGGAGTGAGATTTGTTGATGTCTGTGCTGTGCTGCTCACTGGCGGAAGCAAAGCCCTGCTTGTACCAAGGTGGTCGTCTCTACATAGAGACACTATGCAGCACAAACCATGGTAAGTCAGTATTGAAGAAAAGATCAGCTGCAGGGAGACAATAAGTAACAATGTGACTAATACTTTGGCATCTGCCTGCCTGCCTTTGGCACACCTTCAGTTCCTCTTTACCAGAAAACTGTTAATAGCCAAATACTTAGGCTGCCATTGCTGACCTTCTGAAACTACTAGCTGCAGGGCCATCAGGCTCTTCCATTGGCTTTCATACTTCAGAACAAAAGTACAAATTACGATTTCTGAGTTTGTCTACTACCTGATTGTTCTAGGTCAGTGATCAAGCACAACAGAGGGGCCAGGAAACGGTAGTACATATATATAGCTCTCAAGACAGACTGAGCACCCCATACTTATTGAGATTGGTCCACGGGAGAAGATCATACATTATGTCTCTAATCTACAGAAACCTGTAAAGAAAAAGGACATACAATTGGCTGTCATAAAAATCACTTTCATTGTTCCATTTTCATGGATGACCCCATGGAGATCATCTCCTCCAGCAGAACTCAGACACATTCCTTTCTGGAACAAAAATATTAGTTGAAATAAAAATCATTCACAAGTCTATGTTTTTAGGTATAATGAATAATTCACACGGCAAATGACTGACAGATTTACAGGGCGAGATAAAAAGCATAAATGATTCCCTACAGAGGTCCTTTCTCATCTTCTTCATCACTGCCACCAATGCTGCTGTCTGTGGATGCTGCGTCGTCGCCAGCCTGTTCAGCCTCCGCATTTTCTGGTTGGGGGACACTGCTGTCCGTGCTTTGTGTAGGCTCCGAACTAATGTCCTGCTTGTTTTCCAATTGTCCATTACTAGCAGGTAATGTGCTGGCATCACCAACATCCTTGAGGTTTTTCTTCTCATCAGAAGTGAGGAATTGCTCCCAACCCTTCAGCCTCTCTTCTCTTTCTCGAGATGTCTCTTCAATCTGTAGAACAAAGCATTGCATATGTTGTTTATTAATCTAATATGATCCGAATTCTTCCTGGGACAGAACTGGTTCTTATATGCTTGCTCAATTGAATGGTAGTAAGTGACGGTGTAATTAAAGCTGAGCCTTGGAATTTGAACATCTCTAATAAGGTATATGTCATGTATGGCCGGCTCTGACACCTAGGGCTGGATTTCCGGGTGCTGCGGGGGAGGGAGAAGGCTCAAGTCTTAGTCCCACCCCCTCCAAACGCCATGCCTATTCACAAAAAGCCTTGTATTCTTCTCACAGAATACAAGACATTCTGTGACTGCAGTACAAGAGGTGGGGGCAGGGACGCAACATAATTTCTCCTCCTCCAATCATAGAATGCCGTGTATTCTTGAGGTGGCAGGATGCAACTGGAGCCTTTTACTATTGTAGCTGCATCTCTCTCTCTCTCTCTCTCAACACCCAGAAGCCCAGCATGCTGCAATATATGCAGCCGTCCGCATATAGAATACACCTTATTAGAGATACATTACACACTTAGTGTTGTATACCGTATATACTCAAGTATAAGCCGAGTTTTTCAGCCCATTTTTTTTCCTGTACCCCCTTTTCCACTTACAGAGCTAGGTTATTGTTTTTCTTTTAAATATTCATGTAATTTTATTGGTATCTATCTTCATTTTGTACATTTACCAGTAGCTGCCTCATTTCCCACCCTCGGCTTATATTCGAGTCAATACTTTTTCCCAGTTTTTTGTGGTAAAATTAGGTACCTCGGCTTATATTCGGGACGGCTTATACTCCAGTATATACGGTATGTAAAAAGCGGAACCATGGGCAAGATAACAAACAACATATATTATGCAGTCTGCCACTGGAATGAACACATCTCCAACACTGTTGTATTATCTTTTGATTATATCTTTTTTTTTTTCAACAAAGTTGTCTTTTCAACGAGAGTTGCAATTTTGGTGCACACGGCGATACCAATTTTATTTTATTTATTTTTTAAAAACCTTTTACGTCATTGCTATCACATGGGGGGGCGCTCACAAGCCCCCCCATGTGATTGCACATTGGAGATGACAGGTTCTCTTTGAAAGGTGACATTAGGGGTCACCTTTCCACTTCAATAGCTTTAGCTGGGAAATTACAGCTGCCTGCAGAGGCAGCTGAATGTGACCACAGCAGGCAGTGACCTCCCTCAAGTCCTCCTTGGCTGGGCGGGTGCAATAGCCAGCCTGCTATTGCAATTTAAAATAGAAAAATAGCAGGCTGGCTATTGCTCCCGGCCACTGGATGGGAGACTTATCACCAGTTTTCTACTGCCGGCTACAACTCTCCCATCCAGCAGAAGTGGGGGCACTGGGGGTGGGGCACAGTGGCTGACAGCGGTCTCTCCTTTCCGCTGGGCACCAGCTGCAGAAGTCTGTGTCCCCACCGATTTCCGCTGCTTCGGCTGATACAGGTGGGGAGGGCAGTAGGAACTGAAGGTGACACAGACCACAGCATGAAGCAGGCTCCAAGCAGGAGGGAAAAAGGGGGGGGGGGGGGGTGGGGGGGCGGACAAAAGCCCAG